GAGTGGCTGGAAAGCTGCCCAGAGGAACAGGACTTGGGGGTTTCTAGTTGACAGCCAGCTTCATATGAGCCAGAAGTGTGCCTGGGTGGCCAAGAAGGCCAACAGCATCCCGGGTTGTATCAGAAATAGTGTGGCCAGCAGGACTAGGGAAGTGATTGTGCCCCTGGACTCAGCACTGGTAAGGCTGCACCTTGAATACTGCATTCTGTTTTGGGCCCCTCTCTACAAGAAGTTGCTGGGGCATGTCCAAAGAAGGACAACTAAACTGGTGATGGGTCTAGAGAACAAGACTTGTAAGGAGCAGCTGAGGGAACTGGAGTTGTTTAGCCTAGAGAAAAGGAGGCTCAGGGAAGACCTTACTGCTCTCTACAGTAACCTGGAAGGAGGTTGTAGTGACATGGCAGTTGGTCAGTTCTCCCATGCAGCAAGCAATAGGACAAAAGGAAATGGCCTCAATTCTGCCAGGGGAGGCGTAGTTTAGATTTTAGGAAAAATTTATTCCCTGAAAGGGTTCTAAAGCACTGGACAAGGCTGCCTAGGGAAGTGGTGGAGTCACCATCCCTGCAGTTATTTAAAAGACGTGTATATGTCACCCTTAGTAATATGGTTTAGTGGCAGTGCTGTGTTCATGGTTGGACTTGATGGTCTTGGAGGTCTTTTCCAACCATGACGATTCTGTGATTCTATGATTCTGACCACTAACAAACTAGCAAATAAAGATTTGCCATCCCCAGGGAGAGAGTGAGCATAGTTTGTCAATGGGAGTTTGCATAATACATATTTGAGGACGAGTCATCTTCTCAGACCTTCCCCCACTGAGTACACATATCTTTTTCCCATTTTGCAATTTTGTGTTCATGTCAAGCAGCTTTTTCTAACATGTTTAGTAGAAACACAGGATTGGCCATAATTTCAGAATTTATAATTTTGTTTATCACACTTTTTAGAAACTCTTTGCTAATTACATTTTTTAATTTATCCATCTCTTTTTTAGGCTACTATTCTATTTATTTATATGCTATTAATCTGTGTACAACAAAGATATCTCATAGGTTCAAAAATGTAAATGTCTTTGACGTGTTTTTTTAGCTGCCCAAAATAGGGGACTGGACAGAGATACAAATTAATACCAGTGTGTAGTCAGGATCAGATTTCTTTTGAAAGGGGCAAACTAACAGTGCAGTGTCCTGCAGTTCAGGAGATTTTAGGTCTTGATAATTTCTCTGCTTCAGCCTATATGAATTATTTACCTTTTCTAAAGGTGATTTAGAGCTAGTCCTAGATGGACTAAGACCGCCTGTTCTTCTAGGAAAATGAAATGAAATAAAACAAAATAAAATAAAATAAGGAAGGAGAAGTACTTCATCCTCTCCCATGAAATACAGATGTTTTACATAGCAGGAGGAGATTGTGTACAAAGGCTTTTCACCAGCCTGCTAATGAAGGAGTGGAGGAAAATAAAAGATGCTACACATGTTCCCCTCCCCCTTGTTTCTTTTTCAGTGGTTATTTTCTTTCTCTTTCTCTCTCTTTTTTTATGTTTACCAAAAATTTCATATGCCCAGAGAGTGGTCAAAAGTGAATAGATAGTGGAGAGCAGAGCACATTATATATCACAGTAATGGTTACATGCCAAACCCTAAATTTTTCAACTGAGTTTGAAACAACTCCCTGAAACTTGACCAGTCAAAAGCTGGAGGTCATTCCTAAGAACCAGAAAATGAAGGTGAAGTGGAAGTGGACTAGCAATGCTCTCACTGCCCAATGTGGAGGCCGTGCCTGAGGGCATTAATAGTGAAAAGATCTAATCCAGCCTTCCCATTTCTACCAAACACCTAACATGCAATTTTGTGAAGCAGTTTAGTATGCAAAAGTATGCTGGGTGGAAATCTTGGTGTTTTTTATGCACATACAATACACATTTAGATTATTGTGGGACTGCAGCCAGGTCACTTGGGAACAAGCACGCAAACCTCATGTTCAGCTTCCTGGCAGGGAGCTCTCATGCCAGAAGCATGATTAATCCCAGCAAAGTGGGGTTTCTGTGTGGTGTCACAATCCTGGTGGAGTTGCCCCTCACGGATACCCACCCAGTAGCTGTGTTTGGACCCGCACACTGGATCCGCGTGCTTCTCTGTTCCCCTGGGCCTGGGCAATCCTCAAACACCAGCTGTGGCCCTGGCATCAGACACGCTCTGCAGGCGCACTTTTATACTTGTAGCTACTGTTCCCCCCTCTTTAAGCCCTCTTTTTGGACCACTGATACACCACAGAGATTATCAAAGGGTTTTTGTACACTGGCTCCATGCAGCTAGTCGACTTAATGGTGGAGATGCAAAACATAAGAAACGTCTGTAGACAGTTTTCTTCTCCTTGGGCCCTGGAGCATTTCCTGTGTTTTGGACAGTGTCACAGCAGCCCTTGGTCTCCTTTCTTGTACCCAGCTTAGCCTTCTCTTCCCCAGTTACAGACTTATCTCTAACTCCTCCAAGAGACTCCTTTCATTTTTCAGAGCTGATGTCCCAGTGTTCCCTGGCTTGAAGACCATTCTCAGCATGCTTCTTCCTAACACTTCTCTGGTTTGTCCTTTTACTGGCAATTTGCTTTGCTTTTGTTCTGGGACCTTTTACAAACAGGTGTAAAGTAAATCTGCTCTACCTTAAGCACCATCCATTTTACTTTCACTAAGGTGGTTCCATGTGAATGGAAAATCATTTGTTTAAGGGTTCACATTGATCTCTGTTGCATTTCTTCAGCTTTAAATCAAGAGGATACCTCACCCACTCCATATTAGCAAAAGTTTGATTCAGTGACACAGCAATTTCATAAAATTTACTGAATTTTGTCCTTTTTGCTTAGAGACATTTCACAAACTACCACCTGACCAGAGTCAAGGCATGAATGCTGTCCTAGCCCGTAATATGAGGTCAATCTCTTCACTCTGTGTGTTTAAGAAATTAAAATTATGATTTCAGTCTTAGAAATCATTATTAGCTCAGAAAATGTTTATGATGTGGGCCACCTTATTCTTTGATAAGTTTATTTATGACTTTGAGTCTGATTTCGTATCTCAGAGAACATACTCTATCTCATAGCCACTCAAGATGTATGCGTTTGAGTTTCTGCATAAAAAGCTGTGATGGCCTGGGTAGGTAATTTTATCACATTCTGTTCCTGCCTTTGTACCTGCAGTTTACTAAAACTGTCCAGCACCAAATGGTACAAAATATAAATCTAATTCCAGGATCTAGAACCTAGTGGAGTATCACTTAAATACTAAGAGAGACTCAGATTTCTGTGCACTTGTAATATAACAGTGAGATATTCTTAATCTGGAGCTCCAGCAGTGCATGTTCTGTTGGCAATATCTCTGTTATTGCTGAGTCAAGCCCGTGTGCTGGGGAGAAAACAAGCAGATTCACAAATCAAGCATGTAAATGAGCAGGTAGAGCATGTAAGGGAGACAGTGTTTAAGTTCACTTGTCATCTTCCTATCATTGGAAAACTTAAGAAGTCAAACTGTCTCTTCTTATGGAGCTGTTGTCTTTTTATTGCAGTGGGGGAGCGATGTCAGCTCCTATGCAGAATAAAGTGCTGAAACTCACACTGCAGCTGGAAACTATCCAGAGCCTTTACCTTTGTGGAATCCCCTTGCTTGGTCTTGTTGCCTCAAATATGAAAAGCTGCCACACACTCTCTCTGGCTATAGATGCTCCTGACATCTTACTTCAAATGTGTTGGGATTTTGTGGGGGATTTAATACCTGCGCTGAACTGTTCTTCCCCATATGCCTCTTGTTCACTTTAACCTTCTGAGTCCCATCCAACCTTTCACTCTTCTCCACATGTGGATTTTACCAGAACAGAAGGGAAAATAGTAAGAGAATGCTTGTTCATTGAAGGATTTTTCCAGTAAAAAAGGGAGAGATCCCAGTATTTGGTTTCCTCTGATGATTTGGGTGGGAATTCTGTCCAGTGATAGAGCAAATCCTGCTAGATCCTGTACATGCTGCCCCACAGTTTTCTGAATTCAAGAGCTCTCTGCCTCGTTACAGATCTGATTGTTATGATAGTCTATTTGTGACTTAAGATACTTGATTCTTGTTCTCTAGCACTGGGATCACTATTTTTTTTTTTCTGTTCTGCTGCTAAGGATATATTATTTTGTCAGGTTTGGGATGAAACTCTTGCCAAATCTGCAGAGGCTTGGGCTGCTACGTGCATTTGGGACCATGGACCTTCCTACTTACTGAGATTCTTGGGACAGAACCTGTCTGTAAGAACTGGAAGGTAGGTAGATACCCTCCAAGACCTTTATTTTTGTCAACAAGAGCTTTTGAGATCCAGATCTTAGATTGATGCATGTGTCATTCAGTATTCTAGCAATAATTCATATCCATCTATGTTCGTTTGGCTTGAGCATTATTGCTCAGTACGTAGTGATGTGTAGAGCAATGTATATATAGGTGACTTGCATCAGAGGGATGAGCGGCAGAAAGTCCTAAAATACCTGAACCTAGAATGACATGTTCCTTTTCTGTGTTTTAAACGAGCCCAGGTACCGCTCTGTTCTGCAGCTGGTGAAGCCGTGGTACGATGAGGTGAAGGATTATGCTTTCCCTTACCCCCAGGACTGCAGCCCCAGGTGCCCTATGCGATGCTATGGACCCATGTGCACCCATTACACACAGGTTGCATAAGTTACATTCTTCTATTCAAAGTCTACTGTCCAAAGCTGGACTTCTCTGTGATGTATTTACAGCTCTCTCTAATAAATGTATATATATATTTCTTTTCAATTTGGACTTGGCAAATAACAAACATTTGTTCAGATGGTTTGGGCCACTTCCAATCGTATAGGCTGCGCTATCCACACATGCCACAATATGAACGTCTGGGGATCTGTTTGGCGACGAGCTGTTTACTTGGTATGCAACTATGCCCCAAAGTGAGTTGCTTTCTTTTAATATTGTTTATTTTTATACTTTATGCATGTTTTGGTTCTCTCTTGGGACCGCTTACTGCTTTTTGTGGAGTTTGACCTCTGTTTGTGCGCTTTTGGTGGGCTGCTCTCTCACTGTAACTTTAAATCTGATCATACAGAAAAGGCATGAGTTTGGTGTACAAGGAAGGAAAGGAAATAACTTGATACATATGGTACAAAACCAAAAATTTGTTTTCTGTTATTGTTGTGGTTATTTTTGGTGTATTTTTGTCTTCTTCCTTTGTCTTGTACTTTCAATTCCTTATTTCTTCACTTGTTATATATACTCATGGTGAGCTAGACTTTCTAGGTAAGCAATCTCACTGTAGATCCAGCCCTTGATTTACTGGGAACACAGTTAATTTGTTGCCCACAAGATACCTTTGCTTATGACCATGTTGCTGCATAAGGGCATCCATGCCACAGGACTCCTACAAAGCCCATCTACCTGAGCTTGTTATCTACAAATCTCAGCTTGTCTTCCATAAGAGTCCTTCAAAGTATAGGTCATAAACACCCATAAGTGGACCTGCATCAAATACCTGTGCAGAGATCTTTGTTAGGTTGAAATGAAATGGAGAAATTAATTTTCCCCCAGCATTTCCTAGACAACATGCAAATCTTACATCTGGGTGCAGAATAGATCAAAGTGCAGCCGGGGGAGACCTTTGACTTAAGGTCTGGTTTGGACCAGTACTTCAAAACCAGCATGGACACTGTAAGTGGCTGGTTTCTGACGATGTATTAGTCAAAGCCACAGTTCTAGATAAGAATCCAAGTATAATTGAGCATGTTTTCCATAAACTCTCAGTGGCACAGGTCCATCTGTGGTAAAGAATATGCAAGAATATGTCATTATTCTAACTGTTACATGAGTAAAAGAACTTTTAAATTTATTACAATGTCAAAAAAAGATAGAATTTAGTAAGAAAACTGACTTGGGGGG